CCGCCCCCAAATCAACAGGAAATCAATTTAGGAAAACAAGAAGACATGGCACCAAAAACATAGCCAAAGCACCAAAACCAGTCTAGCATATTTTGAAATATCTTCTGTATCTGCAGAAGTGAGAAATAAAGTAAGACTACTAAGTGTCAAACATAATTTTATCCTGGAGGGAATAAGGAATCAAAAATGGGAGGTCACAAGGAATTGGTTAAAGATTAAACTAAAATCTCCTTGACCACATATGCGTAGTGCTTAATATATTTTATAAAGTTATCTCTTGGGCACTACTAGCACAGGTTAAACTCAATATTATTACTGTGTCTATTGACAATATTTCCCTCTTCATTATTCTTCTCTGAATTCCCTCTATAGTAGAAGTAACAAGAACTACACTTAAAACTGATCTAATAGTTAACCTATTAACTGAAGAATATTTTTGTCTTACTCCAAAGTAATATACACATTATATTCTAAAAAACAGTTTAACTAAAGTTTATATAACTATATAAATTCTGAGCATAATGCCACTAAATATTAATTAAGGCTCCCAAGGTTAATTTGAGATTGCTACTATTAATCTTTTCTGTCATTATTATGTCAGAAGTCCATCAAATAGGATCAAATTATAATTGCCTATCTAGCTATACACATGCTATACATGACTCTAAATGAAAGTTATATTTAATATATTATTTTGTAAGAATTTATTTAAAAATTAGGTTACTCTGACAAGAATTGCTAGTCATAGAAACAATCTTATTGCCTGTTTAGCATTCTTTCAGGAGACTAGAAGTTGAATGTTGGGCATGTGATACTCTAAAGTTACAGTGTCAATATTAAGCAGTCTAGTCTAATTTCCAAAGTCATTTTTAAAAAGATGAATCTAAAACTCTCCTTTTCCAAAAGTTTCTGATAAAACTTTTCTAGATACCCAAGCTACAAAGTTTACAATGTGTTAAAAAGAACACAAAGTATGGAGAATCCCAAATATTTCTGAGCATCAATATATATTTTTACCTATTATTCTAGACAAAAATGTAAAAATCAGAAAAAGCAAATCTTAAATATTTAATGCAAAAATATTAAATAATTCTGGTAACTCAAGGTCTAATAAATTAAAGCTGAAACTAAGTAACATTTTCACTTAAAAATAGATTTTTAGGTTCATGTCTGATTTTGATTTTTTTCTGTCCATTTATTAGTATCAAAGACATTTTTTGGCTACTTATTACATCTTAGTACATTATCTAAGAGATCAAAACTACCGTAGCCTAGTAGTCAAAATTTACTGTTTGATATTGTTACAAATAATTTTTGAAGAGCAGAAAAGTTTACTGGAAATTAATAGACAGTGGAAAAGTAACTCCCCAAAAGTATTCATATTGAGCAAGTTTCTACTATTGGTGGCTTCAAAGTATGTGTAAACAAACAGAAAAGTAGTATATTACAATATATACTACAGAGAGAAGCATGAATAGAATTTTTGAGTATAGTTATAGAAGGGCAAAATTCTATAAACATGAATTTTATTTTTAGTTTTGCTTTTCTCTTTTAGTGGCTAATTCCCATATATAAAAGCATTATAGCATGCAGCTTCTAGTCATGACTCATGTCCAAACTTCATTGTAATGCCTGAAGTGCACTAAAAAAAGTATAGAATTTTATTTTATTTAGAATTTGGGGGCTGCATTAAGTGGTCTTCAGGGGTCACTCCTAGCAGTGCTAAATGGACCATATGTAGTATCAGGGATCAAATCAGGGTCAGTCAACCACATGGATGGAACATCTTAACTGCTGTACTATCTCTCTGTCTCTGAGTATTTTAAGCTGTAACTTTAAGAACTTTTTAATATACATAGAAGTCAATAAAAAAGGAAAGAACATCATAAGTACTTGTTCTAGGAATGGCAAAGCTGCAACACCAAATGTTTAAAAATAGACACATAGACTATGAAAAGAGAATGAAGTTTATGTATTATTTCCTCAAAAGAGCTCTCAAATTCCAAAATACTGAAAGCAATTATTCAGTTAGTAACTCCTTTTTATGAGATTCTTCCAATAAATTTCATTCTCAATGGTGATGATCAACATGAACATGACCAGAATTTGTGAGTAGGCCATGACTGAAATATTTTAAATAAGTGCTCTAAGTACCCATTCTTTTCTTCTTGCAGAAATCATTATCTCTCAGACTTTATGCTTAATAGCTGCAAAGTACATCTAGATTGTAAGATTAAGTACTGATAACTGAATTTTTTATTTTATTTTATTGGTAGTGGTGCTGGTGATTGAACCCAGTCCTTGTACATGCAAGGCAAATGAACTACCACTAAACTACATCCCTGGGTCCTTGGGCTTATTTTTCTGATGAGAAAAACATTTATCTACGTGATGAGTCACTATACGCCCCATTAATTCTTAATACATTCCTTTAGTTCTTGGAAACCAGCTGCTAAATATCCAACATTTGGGTCTCTTCAAAGAAGTTTCAGTAAGTCCCTTTCCATGTGAATAGGTCACATTTTCCCACTTCTTTGTAGTTCCCATAATATTCTGTTGAAAAACGACTGAGTTTATGTAAAACAACAGCCTTATGCATACACATAGTCTTCTAGATTACCAGAGATAAGAACAACTTCATCAAGGTCAATTTTGGCTCACTTGTCTCTAAATCTCTGTTATCTGCTCCAACAACTAGCAGCCCTTGGGTCTTCCTTTACCATTTGCCAGTAGATTACTGCGTCTATTAGCCCCCTCCCCTCCACATGGTTTTTCCCACACTTCCTCTCCAGGGTCAGAACTATTGCTCTTTCAGCATGATTGCCCTAGTAGAAACTACCATGGAGCAATGAGGTCGGGTGGAAAAATAAAAGACTCCTATGACTCTTACTGTGGCTCTGTAGCTTGTGGCTCATATGCCTTTGGTCGGAGTTCTTAAATTAATGTTTTTGCCAATTTTGTTGTTATTTTTAAGGGAGAAGTTATACTGATGTCCATGCAGACTTCCACTAAACTCTTATGTTGATGTGTGTCTCCAAAGGTTATATTAAACCAAGATGGTAAGTGCTTTCTTAATTTTTGCTGATCACACTCTCAAGACAAGTGGATGTTTACTTTGAGAGTATACGTATTGTCTCACCTTAGAGAGGTAAAGTAGAATAGGAGTGACTCAGCCCAACATATATTGTGATTTGAGAAAAAAATAAATTTAGTATCTTATGGAATTAATATTTAAGATACTCATAAGAGATCTTGAAGGACTAACCACTTTTTTTAATTGACTCAAGTATTTATTAAAAAAAATGACAAGGTAACAAAATAATCACAAAATGTGTAAGCAAAGCTTTTCTTAAACTCCAATTAACTCTTTACTGAAGAAGTATCAAACCAGTCCTATGAGAGTAAAAAAAATTCTTGGTGAGGTGGAAAAGAACAAATACTGAGATGTCTATAACAAACTTTAAAGACTAATGCTTTCCAAAAATGCAGTATTTACAGTACTTACAGTACTTGCATGAAAATCACTCATAATTATTTCTTAAAATACATAAATGTATTCTTTTTAAATAAAATGTATTCTCTTTCCATAAAAAAATTATACTCTGTATCAGAAATCCATATTTTTAAGAAGCAACCCATGGGGTAGAGACAAAACACAATGGTTAAGGTGATTGCCCTGCAGCCAGCTGACCTGAGTTCAATTCCAGGCACCACATGATCCCCTGAGCAATGTAGAGAGTGATCCCCAAACACAAATTCAGAAGTAGCCCCTAAGTACTGCTGGGTGCAGCTCCTAACCCTCCCTAACAAATACAAAAGTGAATAAATAAATAAATAAATGCAACCTGAATATTATTATGTTTACGAAAGTTTGAAAACGACGTTATTAACTCTTATTTTTCATTCAAATTAGAATTATATGGATTAGGAACCTAAATTTGAGATGCTAATCCATAAAATAGATATCTAGGGGACAAAGTAATAAATGATAACAATTTTTCTTCAAGGTGTGGTCTTTCTTGAATCTTCCTTTATTTTTCCTTGCTTGGAAAAATTTTTTTCAAACATTTATAAGTAATATATTATTTGCCTTGCCTTGATTACAGACCCTGGGTACCTCTAGCTTAAGTGGAAGAGACTTCAGGAAAGGAATTAACACTTATACTCTTTGTAAGGGTCCAAAAGGAAAAATTCTTACGTGTTCACAGGATGCTGAACTTTGTTTACTGGAGATTTGATTCCAAAGCTCAAAGAAACAATAAATCTAGAGCTTTTTCTTAATTTCCTCTTAGGTTCCTCTCCAGGAAACTTAGGTGAAAAACCATAAGTAATTGTTGGGTAACAAACATCAAAAGATTCAAAGAATCTTTAATATGTTATCTCAAAATTATCATTCACATTCTAATTGCACATTTTACTACAAATGACATGGAACTTTAAAAAAATCTTTATAGAATTTTGTTTTACAAAAATCCCAAGCAAGGGGGCCAGAGTGGGCATTTGCCTGGCATGTGGCCGAGCTGGCTGACCCCTGGCATCTCATATGGTCCCCCGAGCACCGCCAGAAGTAATTCCTAAGTGCAGAGCCAGGAATAACCCCTGAGCATTGCCAGGTGGAAATCCCCCCAAAAAATTACAAGCAAAGATTTCATTATCAGTAACATTTGTAAAATTTTTCTTTTGTTATTAACAAAGGATTACCCATTGTCTAAAGTTCCAGGAAATGTTATCTGGATTCAAATAAACATATTCCGAAACAAGCACTGGATATATGGATTTGCAGAGCATACGAATACACTATTAAAAGTTGGATGAAAAGTACCAACAAAAAGAACCATCAACTCTATTCATTTGCATTAATACTTTGCAGCTATAAAATTTTAAACCACAGTAACAGGATGTTTCAGTTAATATTACATAATTATTAGAATAATTATTAATTTGAATTTAAATTCCCAATAACTCCATCTTTAAAAAGCAGGCTCTTTTTTATGAGATCACTATATACAGCACTGATGAAGCTTATACCTATACTCAGGGTCACTGTCATAGGCACAGTCTCTATACAAAAGGCCTCTTTTCAGTTCCAATTCATCTTCTTTATCTAGGTCTCTCTCGTCCTGAAAAAAAAATATTTTTATTAATTATTTTTATAATTATGACATGTATGGAGGGAAATTTGTAGGAATATAGGCACACAAGCAAAGTTTTTGGTAAACATCATAACCTTACATCTGAAGGAATTAGAAAAGGACCTTATTGGAACTTTGGTGGTGGCTGTGGTGTGACAACATATATTTTGAAGAGGCATAAAACCATTCCCTAAAATCTATAGTCTTATACACCAACATTACTTAAATTAAAACTTTTTTAAAGAATATAACAAACAGAACCAATACCAGCAGAAGGAAGTAAATAATAAAATTGGATCAAATACAAATGAGATTAAACAAAAAATTATATACAAAATATCACTGTTAATCACTGTCCTCCTGTTGTTCATCGATTTGCTCGAGCAGGCCCAGTAATATCTCCATTGGAGACTTTGTTGTTACTAGAGGGGCTGGAGCGATAGCACAGCAGTACGGCATTTGCCTTGCATGCAGCCAACATGGTCGACCCGAGTTCGATTCCTCTGCCTCTCTCGGAGAGCCCGGCAAGCTACTGAGAGTATCTCGCCCACATGGCAGAGCCTGGCAAGCTACCTGTGATGTATTCAATATGCCAAACACAGTATACAAAATATATAAAAGACTAATTAAGAGCTGAGTAAGGATAAATCTCCAATTAAACTCATAAAGAACAAAGAAAAATACACAATGATCACAAAGAAATTAAACCATGTTTCAACTGCATAATTTTTTAAAAGGATCATAAGAGATGACTGCATGCAAACAAATCGGACAACACAGAAAAAATGAAAAAAAAAACAGAGCTGGAGAGATAGTACAGGGGCTAAGGGGGCTGCCTGACTTGTAACTGATCCTGATTAGAATCCCTGGTACTACATATGGTTTCCTGAGCACTGCCAGAGGTCACATCTAAATCAAAGCCAAGAATAGTCCTGAATACCACCAATGTGGCCCAATAAACCCCCCAAAGGAAAGAAATGAACAATTATTCAGAATCACAGTCATTTAGAGGAAAGGAAATTTATGAAAATAATCTTTTTTAGTTTTGAGAGATAAAATATGAGGAAATAAAATTAATAAAGGAGGTAAAAGTCTTGTCTTATACATTAAAAACTATGGGCCTGACTAGATATGGTTAAAAAAATTAGAAGCTACAAAGAAATAGAAGTCCATCCCATGTTCATGGATTAAAAGTTATTAAAATGCTCTTAACTGATGCATCTACAAATTCGGTAGTACCAATCAAAGTACCAATCAAACAGTACCTATTTGATCAAAAAGTACCAATAGAAGGCATTTTAAAATACAATTAAAAAATATTCATGGAACCAAGTGATCCCAAATAGCCAAAACAACTCTCAAAGAAATGAAATGGAAATGCGTTATGCTCTCTGACTTCAATCGGCCTAAGAGCCAATAGTAGTTTAAAAAATTAAGAAATGTTACAAAAACAGGTACATAGACCAATGAAATAGAGAACTCAGAGGAAATTCATACATACATAGGCTCCTAATATTCAAACATAACTTTTTTGTTTGAATTTTCTTGAAAGATTCTGTGGACAGCTTACAATAATGTTACAATATTGTTAATAATGGTCCCTCATGCATTTTATTCCAACACCATATCCATCACCAGTAAACCCACCTCCCTTCCTCCCCAGTACCCCGACACCTCTCCTTCTAACATACCCCATTTTTACTGACTCAATTGTATTAATTATATCAATTCTCCTCTGATGTTGCTTTTGTGCCTTTTTTGTTACCACGATCACGATCACGATCACGACCACCCTGTTGTTCGTCGATTGCCTCGAGCAGGTGCCAGTAACGTCTTCTTCGTCCTAGCCCTGAGATTTTTTTTTTTAAAGTGCCATATTCAAGGCTTTTTCAGGGTTAGGAGAATGAGACCCATCATTGTTACTGGTATTTGGCATATTGGGTATACCACGGGGAGTTTGCCAGACTCTGCCGTGTGGGCATGTTACATTTGGTAGCCTGCCAGTTTGACCGAATTAGGAATGAGATGATAAGATGTCGCGTGGCCGCAAATGCGGCCGCGCGCTTCCGGGAGCTGAGTGTGATAATCTCTGGATCCTGGCCGTTGTTGGAGTTACACGGCAGTTGGTGGGTGTAACTGTCTAGTTACTGGCAGGTCCAGTCCCAAACTGTACTGTTTTGTTACCATGCTATGAAAATCCCACATATGGGAGAATTATTCTGTAGGTATTCATTTCCTTCTGACTGATTTCACAAGGCATGATATTCTCTAGTTCCATTCATGTTGCTGAGAATTGCATGATTTTGTTCTTTCTTAGAACTGCATAGTATTCCATTGCCTATGTATACTCAGAACTTCTTGATCCACTCATCCATAGTTAGGCTTTTCGGTTGTTTCCACATCTTGGCTATTGTACTAAGTGTAATAACGAACATAAGTGTGCATATTATCCTTTCAAATCAATGTTTTTGTGTTTTGAGAGATTCCAGGAAGCGGTACTGCTGAGTTGTAGGGTAGTTCTATTCCTATTGATGTTCATGGAGCTGGAACCAAACAACATTCTCACCAACAGAGGATGAGGGGTTACTTTCTCACAATAACCCTGCCAACACTGGCTGTTTCTAAACTTTGGATATGTGCCATTCTCAAGGGTATGATATATCTCACTATTGTTTTGATTTGCATTTCCTTAAGTATGAGTGATGATGAGCACTTTTTCATATGCTTGTTGGCCATCTGTATGTCTTCTTTGGGGAAGTGTTTGTTCATCTCACCTCATTAGTGGATGAGTGTTCAATGTATGTGAAGAAAACCATACTATCACATATAAAAGAGAACACTAGGCAACGTTTAAAAGTCAGACATGAAAACTGACTCAAATTATGGATAAATTGTATATTAGACCCCAAAACACAACATAAGCAGAAAAGACAATAAGTACAGGATTTCAACATCAGTAATATATCTGGAGACTTAACATTATTGGCACGTGAAACAAAAGCATTCAGAATAACTAATGTGACTACGACAAATTAAAACTTATTCCATCACAAAAAGAAACTATCAGCCCTTACCCCCTAAAAAAAGTCAACCTAGCAATCAGGAAAAATTATTTGTACATCATACATCTGACAAGAGGTTGATATCCAAAATACATAAAGAAATCATACAGCTTTAACACAAAAATAAATGTTTATGTCACATTATTAAGGAAATGCAAATGTAAACCACAATGAGCTATCACCTCATACCAATGAGAAAGGTCTATATCAAAAAGCTTAGAAACAAAAGCAAGTGTAGGTGAGAATATCGAGAAAAGGAATCCTGAAAATGCCATTCATCACAGTCTCTATGGAAAATCGTATGGAGAAAATATTGATATATCACATGATTTAGTGATGGCACCCCTAGGCACTAATCTTAAATTTTCACTTGAGGGTGAACTTACTCTAAATAAAGTCTACCCTGTACCCTCTCTATTAAGACTTGAAATGCTTCCAAATTCTGCTTGAATTTCTTTACACTAAAAGGACTTCAAGAAGTCGTGTTTTATATAATACAATGGAATACTATGCATCTCTTAAAAAGATCAAAACCATACAATTCTGAGCAACTCGACAGAACTTGAGAATATTATGCTGAGTGAAGTTAGCTAGAAGGAAAAGACAGATAAAGAATGATCTCTCTTATATGTAGTACTTAAAGATACACAAGGTAACATCAAAGGTCCAAAGACAGCATAACAGAACTGATACACAGACTTGAGTTGGTAGAAGGGTGAGCCGAGAAGAAGGGGCTCTGGGGTGTTTTGAGAAAGTGAAGTGTGTATACTGGTGGTGAGTGCGGTACTGGAATTATGTGCATGGGAAACCATTATTGACAATATTGTAAACCACATAATATTCGCCTTACAAGTGGCCAACATGGCCGACCCGAGTTCGATTCCTCCGCCCCTCTCGGAGAGCCCGGCAAGCTACCGAGAGTATTCGATATGCCAGACACAGTAACAACAAAGTCTCCAATGGAGACGTTACTGGGCCCGCTCGAGCAAATCGACGATCAACGGGAGGGCCTTTACCTTTACCTTTACCTTACATAATATTAATAAAAATACGAATAAGGACTTTAGCCTAGTTACAATTTTTATATATTGCATATTTTATAATTTTTCTATAATATTGCTAATGTAATATGAAATTAGTGATTTATAATTACTGAGTGTTATTCTTTTTATACATGGCTTTACTATTTGTAAATAAAGTGATTCACTGTATTAAAAGAAAAAGAAAAAAAATGATCTCCTCAATAAATGCCCTAAAATTATCTGTAATAAAAAATTCAAAGATAACTTCTGTGGGGGGTGTTCCTAAGCAGTGTACAAGGGTTATTACCAGCAATGTTTGGCCTGGATGTGCAAACCAGCAGAGCTGGTATTTGTGCTTGGTGATGTGGTGATTCTAAAGCCCATAGTACTGGAGATCACCAGAATCACCCTAACAGTGCTTGGGGATCACCAAGGGCATAACTAAGTCCGGGAGCTACTAGTGCTATACCAGGTGGTGTTCAAGTGACCATGTAGTTTTATAGTTTCATGGTTAGGATAAACTTGGGTTTTCCCCAGGCAAAACGAGCCCTCCATCCCTTTAATACATCTCCCTGAAACTCTTTTACTTGTCTGGGGGTTCATATCCATTGCTCTTAGGGGCTCAGGACCCTGATGCCTGGGCCCAATGCTGCTCAAAGGCAGTATATCCTCAAGCACCACTTCCACTTGTGTTGTTTAAGAATTTCCTTAATAGAATAATAAAGCAAGAAAAAAAAGAAACACAAGGCATAATGATTAATAAAGGATAATGTTCAGAAAATATCCATAATTTTCAGATTATAGGACATTCAAAGCTCCATCAAGTGACATTGATATATAAATGTAAGATTAAAAAAAAGAATATGGCCATACATAAATCTAGTATTTTTATTATATCAAGAAC